TACTGGTGTGCACTCCTCATGGCAAAACCACAACAGAACCGTACCCACATTGTTAGCAAAAGTGCAGCTAATGACACGGAATGAACACATCTTGCATAACACATTTTGTTTTTAAACATTCGGTAGAAAACCCAACACCCCATTGACCCATCCGACTTTTAATTGTCCAAAGGGAATGAACAGAAGAGGAGATGTATGGCCTGCTATAGCCTGTTCCCCGCCAATTAGTACAGTAACAATTAAGTCAACATTAGTAGGCGTCTCTTTAAAACATTCTGTTAAACCCCCGATTTCTAAACTGTCAATCAGGCCTGCGCCCGAGAAAAAAAAAGCGGGATTTCAGCCGAGGAAATGGGCACAAGCGAACAAAAAGTCAACCAACGATGGACAGCTTTCAATAGGCTGCGTTCATGTGACATCACAACGTTCCAAAGACCCAAGAGTGTATTATTGTGGTGGAGGGCGGTTTAGAATTTTTTCTGGTGTCTATGGCAACCGTCACAATTCTAGTTTAAGATTCAAACAAACAATATGGCAGGTTTGTGAGTCTAACTATCACTAAATGATTTGGGAAAACCCATCCATTCATTTTCATCCGCTTTCTTCCACAGGGGCGCCAGATAAATCAGAAGTCTCTATCCACATTTGTACAATATCTTTTTAACGTTTCATTCCAAAATTGCTTCGTTTTCCAATTGATTTTGTACCTGCCCTCCAACTGAAATAGAATTATACAACATGAAGGCAACCTAGTGCCACTGTTCATTCACTAGAAGAACAAAATAGTGGTAATGTCAAAAGAAAAATACAAACAAACAATAAAAAACTGCAACATTCAGAAAAAAATATAAGTCTTAAACTCGATTAGAGTGCGTGGCTTATCAGTGAACCCGTTGCTTTATGCTTCACTGACGCCTCAAGGACCCAGAGTTGAAACTATCAGAAGCCACATTTCCTGTCTCCAGTTTGATTGTTCCAGCTCACTCACCCCAAGAACATCCGCAGGCCAGTCTATCCGCTACTGCGTCAAGTCGGGCCATCTCTCCTCTTTACAAAAAAAAGGTTGAGTGGGAAAACCTCAGCATTTTTCAGTCTGTTTTTGTGTGACTTGAATACATCAAACTGTCTAAATTTTTGCTAATTAAACAATAGAATAGCACCGTATGATACACCAGGTTCTTTACAGGTAAGGCTCAAAGTTAATACAATATTTTTGCTGTTCGTAACATGTTGCCTCGGTAGCACTCGGTAGATAGCACTGTTCTCCTTTCATCAAATTGGTCCCTTCAGTAAACAAAATTATTATTTGCGGGTCAGGAGTGAGCCCATGGTAATTGCTGGATCAAGGCTAATGCAAGGGCGATCAACAGGGAGAAAAGGGTGGCTTCAGACAGACCAGCGAGCTAATTATGTTCATGGCCAGTTATTTCAAAGAGTCTATCTAAAAATGACACTTTGAGAAGCTAATTGGACGGCTATACCTAATTGCATAATTGGTAGCAGGAAATACAGTTTTTTTGTGACCGACCTGATGTACGTGAGGACCTAATTGGTTGTTTCTGTGTCTTTCCATCGGGTGCAGTCTCTCGCAGTGCAGTCAAAATGTGTGTTTGTTTATTCAGTATTTAAGTCAATATAGCTTTAATGTATGAGAAAGCACTCAAAATCAATTTTTTTTTTTTTAATATACTCAGTGGTCCTTTGCTGTAAGCGCTTCACCCTTTGCAGCCTCACTGTTTGGCTGATTTCTGCGACCAATTTAGACTGTTTTTTGTGTGCGTCTCATGGATGCGGTGTGTGTATACTCTGGTGACATCATATAACCGCTAGAGTTCAGGTGGTTAGAAAATTGTACAGAAAATTACACCGAAAATTGTGAGTGGTGAGGGGGTTTTACAACCTTACACATGACTGCTACTTTTGTGGATTTTGCAGGATATTTCTTTTTAGAACACATTACTTTCTGTTGGCATTACAATTTTAAAATAGAAAACTAATTTGAACCAATTTCGACCCAAAACACAAAAGCGTCACACAAAACCTAACAATATTTGAAAAAAAAAACATTCATAATTTCAGAAATATGGCCAAATAGCCCATATACGTGGCTGGGGGGAGTAACCTTTAAAGTCCAAGTGTATGTCAGGTGTGTGGTGGACATGTTCATCTCCTTGTGCAGTGGTCAGTATTTGGGCGCCCTCTGTCACACTGGACAAATAGGGACGAAGTGTCGTGATTTAATTTGGCCGTGGCGGTGATGGTGGGAGTGACCTCGCCCTGAAGCTGTTACTGTGACGGGCCGCGCAGGTCACTGTTCAGCCATCTGTTTGTGCATGTATCTGATAAATTATTTCAGCCTTTGGAGAGGACAGGCCTGGACACGGCTGTCTTGCACCCGGGGAGTTTAGTCTGTTAAATTGTACTCTAGTCAATTAGTGTTTGTGTTTCATCGTTGCTGTACTGGGAAAGAATAGTCTCAGATTACCTATAGAACTGCCGAGTTAAAGCAACCTGAATTTATTAGCATGAATAATCATAAATTATGCGTTGTTACTGTTAAGTGTTTGGCCACAATTCCTCCATCTAAATAGACTTTGGTGAGAAAATCCCGCTCACTTCAGGGTTTTTCTTAGAGCCACCAAAAAACTGCACACATTAGCTTAATGTTTTGTTATGTGGAAAATTGAAGCAAAAGATAGCATCTCTAAACCAACCGGGTAGAACAGAGACATGTGCGGTAATAAATATATATATCGGTGTTGACGATGCCTTGTACACTGATTGTACTGTTTTGTGTTTTCCCATCCTCTTGGTGGTTTTAATCTGACCTGTGAGAGTCAGGACACGTTTGCTTTTTTTTGTCTGTGAGGAAAATCAGTAGCAGCCTGAACCGGGTTTTCCTCTTTGCTGCTCTGCTTTAGTATGCGTCGTGGGCTCGCAGTTGCTTGGAGATGCTCCCAGCAGCTGTTAATTTGTTACAGGGCTGCGTTGTGTAGGAGTCGCCCATTGAGACGGGACTCTGGCTTATTGGTTATGTGAGAGCTGCTCTGCTCCTTATTATGTGATGAGTTAGAGTTGAATGGGTCTTGACAATGAACGACTCAAGAGCCCTTTACCATGTTGCCATTCCGATAAATCATATACAGTAGAAATATGTTTTGCTCCTTCAAAGAGGTTGCATATTTCAATGACACTTTAGCAGTAATGTTTAAATAATATTTATTTAGCATGAGTTGTTCCCATAGAGACATCTTCAGTCTTCAGTACCTCTGTCCTTACAATCCCACTGAGTCATCATCATACCTTTTGATTATGTAAAACCCAGTCCAGACCACACTCAAGAAACTATGCTGCAAAGGCCAACACATTTCCAAATCATGAAAACATTACTTTTTTTTCTCCTAATATCTTATCCAGCCTTTTTAACATCAAGTATCAGTTATCACATGGGTATATTGTCTTGCAGTTGTCAAAGCCACATAAGTCACTACTGTAGCAACCAACAGTATTAAGGTATTATCAAAAACATGGATTTAGCAGTATTTCATGTTTTTATCTGTATGTGTAGTCCCTAAATCCACATTGCCTTTTCTGTTTCAAACACAACAGAGGTCACAGGTTTGAGGCCGTTTTGAACGAACAGCAACCTCCGTTCGAGGAGAAATGACTTGCGCACCAACCTTGACACAGTATTTCTTTCAAAGGTGCTGACTTTGTGCGCGCCTCGCAGAGAGAACATGTCCGCTCTCCTGCTCTTACCCTGTGGGCTCCAGCGGGTGTGAGGTGAATATACAACAACACATGCAAATCCGACTGCACCACTCAAGACTGCGAGCACTGGCCTAAAAAGGAATGTGTGCTTCTAATTAAAAGAAGGAAGTCATGTAGAAAAGGGATTGAATTGGATTACAGAAGGCTACTAAAATAACATTAGTGCAGTGGTTATCAATCCGTTTGGGATTTTGAAGTAAAAAAGCACTGTTTTACTTTTGCTTCCAACTACAGCTCTGTTTTTGTCGACTCGGCTGAATCTGGATGAAGAGAACAACCACAATTTAGTGTTCATGTCTACTCATCCCACACTGATGGGACAATTCCTTATAAATGGAGTAGTTTGTACCAGTAGAAATTAAATGAAGGGGTTTAAAAGGGAAATCATTTAACAGAACACGCCTGCAGACATTTGTTCTGCTCCTGGATGCTCTGGGCATAGAAGTGACCATCAGCAACGCAGCAGCTGAGTGTTGTGTAATGTTATGTTCAGCTGAATGAAAAATAACAAATCACCTTACAAAACCTTTGCCGTACCCTTTCAGAGAAATACAAAACTGTTGGTAGATACAGCCCCAATACGATCAGTAAAATGAAAATATATCTATATATTTGTTTATATATATGTATGAACATGAATTAACTTTGCTTCCTGTAAAACATATGAGGCCATTAACTAAAGCAATTTGTGCAAAGAACTCTCTTAGTGCAGTACTCAAACTCTCTTATAATTATATGTGCAACTATGTAGCCCAAGGAAATGCTACCCCCTTAAGCCACATAGACATTTAGCAAAATCGAAACCAGGCGAACTCGTTTCCCCTCCTCTTTAGCCACCATTTTGAATCCTAAAACAAAGTCAGGTTACGTCATTGCCATTCATGCACAGTAAGACTTTCAGCTTGTTTTAGGGGAGTTCACTAAAAGTAAAAACATTGTGTCGTCTTGTCCTGCCCCATACAAAGAAAATATAGATCTCCCGTTGTCTGGACATCACCACTTAACGACAATGCATCTGTTAAACCCACCAGAATGTAAATTAAACCCCACATTTTGTCCCATCCGGTGAAGATAGTCGTCGGCGATGGCACTGGGCATTCTTTGGGGGGGGGGTAGATGCAGCACTTTGAGCACACCACACGGTAAACCTTTTTCCAGTGAGCAGCGCCACCTGCTGTCCACACTGTATACGTAACAGTAGCCAGTCAGTGTCAGCTCTGCTCGGACTATTATCTGCAGTGCCGCTGCATGGCCCACAGGGGGAGGGCCAGAGTGACCAGGAGCAGGTGAGGTGAGGGTCTGTGTGAGGGGGAGTGTCCCGCTGATCCTGCCCGCTCATCGCTGCGATCGGCCTCCACCACAGGAGCCTCCTCGGTCCCCCGGTACGCGTACTCTGTGGTGCAGCCTTCAGTACAGCCGCTGCCACTGCCCGACGCACTGCCCTCGTCACCTGAGCACAGAGCGAGGTGTGAAGAGCCGGTCAACCAAAGAACTCACAAAAAAGCAAAGTTTGACAAATCCATGCACACAAACGTTACAGCGGCACCACACTTTCAAACTACACACAACTGATCAGTGGGATACAGTTGGACACACAAGTTCCATTGTCTCTTTGTGGCCTCGCACCAAAGTACATCTGTGACATATCAGTACCATATGAACCAACTGGGACTCTGAGGAGCACAGGGACTGGCCTCCTGTTGGTGCCAAGAGTCAAGACTAAAGATAAGGAGCCAGCGTTTCAAATGTATGCAGCAAAAATCTGGAACAGTCTTCCTGAAAATGTAAGACAGACGTCTACTCTGACAATAATCAGGTGATCTGGAAAAGTTTCAAAAGTAGGCGCCAGAAAAGTCTTACTACATAATAACTGCTGGCCGGGAGTCTAAATGTCTCTACCCTGAACACTATTAGATTAGATTTGACTCCCTTCCTGTTATTGCTAGTGTGTATTGTGAACAATTGAAAAAACAGGTTAAGAAGTGAGATAAATGACTTATTTGATGACAGCATTGAACACTTGTTACTTTAAAGTTTATCTCTATTATGTACTGTATATTTCTTATTTCTTATGCACCCACTTTGCGAGTCCATATGTATAGGTTTCTCCATGGTAGAAGACAAAGACACTGATACATTTACACTGGTAAATGATCAAAAACAAGTTGGCTAATTGCAGAGCGAAAAAACAAAGTAACTGTACTTTTCACAAGTGTTGATGATGAGGAAAAAGTTCCCACAATAGAATCGTTTAATGGCTGAGAAAGCTAATAGCTTGAACTCAGACAGGTGGATGTTATTGTAGTGACAAACTATTTGCCAAACTGGAACTGAGAAGATAAGACAGAAAAAGAGCCACTTTCAGATTCAAAGTAGAAAGCAAGTACAGTAACGACAGATGTACTTTCAATAATTGTGGTAATTTTTTCCGGTGTTTACTTTAAATTCTATGTGACTCTTTCTTCTATCTGAGATTAAATTTGTCCTAAGATTTGTACAGCCTTCTCTAAAAACCCTTGTTTAATTAGACCCATTGATAAAGTCTATAGTCTGTTCTGTTGTCAGAATAATCAGTTTGCTGTGAGTGGCTTGAGCTGCTTTGCACTTACTGGAGTCCTGGAAGTAGATGTCGTTGCCGTTGTACGCGTTCTTGAGTTTGTTGGTCATGACGCGCAGAGCCATAATCTGCTGTCGGATCAGCGTGTCCGGCCGCGTGATGTCTATATCCACCTCTGGATTATTGATCTGGTTTGTCAGTCCCTCCTTCACCACTTCAGGGAAATATCTGAGCACATGAAATAACACCAGTTTGGTATTCAGTTGCAGTGACATTTTAAAAGCCTTTGTTAACATGACCCTGTTTTTGACTAGTTACAGCAGAAAAAAAGGCAAAAATATCTGTGAGAGCGCTGGTTATTAAATCAAGAACAAACTGTGATTTGAGAGATTTGGGGACAAACAACTTAATTTTGGAAGACTTGATTTCTGGGTAACTGCCAAAATAAAAAAAGCCTGTTTGGTGTGATATAGTTCGACAGGCACCTGACTTTTAAACCACACAATTCATTTGTCTAATCTAATTTGTTCCTCGCTCTTAAAACAGGTTGGTTCCATCGCTATCCTTTTTTTATATGCATGTATTTTTGGCCTCATATATTAATAATACATTTTATTTAAAAGCGCCTTTGAATACACAATCTTTTAAACAGGGTGTACTGTATAATACTGACAAGCAGGGCTCTTTGTTATGTAAATATGTACAAATATAACAAGTTTTTTCCAGAAGATTCAGTTTTATTTGCCATTTGCAGTAAAAAAACCACATTGGAATACATTAGCAAAAAGTCTCCAGTGTGCACAGACAAATACAGACATAAAACAACATTAAAAGACAAAAATAATACAAATAAAACAGTAAACAAAAGTCTGACATTTTATTTTTCCAAGACTCAAAAAGAAGAATTTAGGGCAAGAAAAAATGCTCCAATCTTATGTCACGCTTTTCCTGAAATATTACCAACTTCCAATTGTAGTTTTATATAGCATCTCAATGTATCTTAATGTTAGCTAACCCGTTTCTTGAGACTTCTTCTCTTCTGTGAGACTGGCATTCAAAAAAATCCAACAAGAATTTCGCAACAGTTTTCACACGCTGCCTCAATGTGAAGGGGTGTGAGCCACGCCTTTGTCTCCATAAAAAACGACAAGTTTAATGGTCACAGGTACTTACTGATGGAAATAGCACAGAGACAAGCAGATACTTCACCAAGTACTGTTAATTGTGCCCTCCAACCAGAGCTTAATTAGTTCTTCGGTTCACACTATCTGAGCTTGGCAATACAGTTAGGAGATGGTAAGAGCAGGGAAATATCCTGAACAATTGAACATCACAATATGTTTTATGCAACTAAATAATGTCTTAATCAGGGATCGCTGCCCTTTTCTTCCCCAGAACAAAGTAAAAGAAAAAAGAAGCTACTTTTTATAGGACAAAATAGCAGAGAACCAGAAGACAAAGCCTGATTCTAATCTCTATGAAATGAGTAGCTATGACACCTGTGGATCTTTAGTATGGTAAATTCAAAATGTTTGGATTTGTAAAAAACAAGTTGAGAAGCTCCACCTTAATTCTCATATTGCCCCTAAGCCCTGCCCCTTTTACAGAGCAAAAAAGATAAATTCTCAATTGCACATACCGCTCCTCCTCAGACAAAGTTGCAATTACGTATTTTTCCTTCAGGCGAGGGAGGGGCTAGATACTTGTGGTCAGAGGACTGCAGGGAGAGCAATTGTGGCTTTCTTTTATGAGGATATAAACAACTAAAAGGTGCATGAATCACACCAAAAACGGCTTTTAGTGAGTCAATGACAAGGGACAACAACTAAAACATGGCCAAAAGCTGAGAAAGGTTAAATTTTGGACCTTTCTCACCGATCTGAGAAAGCTTCAATCAAAAACAAATCAAAGTAACGTATGAGCATTTGTAGAGCCAAACTCAAACGTGCCTCATATTCAAGCCAGTCAGTTAGTGCTGGGGACACATGAGCGCGGGAGGTAAAAACTCAATCAGATAAAGAGAAACTGCTCCACAGGCTCTCGGTGAGTGCAGCCTGAGCGGTGTCTTTAGATTTTAATTCAGGCGTCAATAATCTCGACATACCAAACCTGAGATTGCAATCATTTTTGCCCCAACTTGACAACATACTCCGAGTATCATCCCACTAGTGTTTTACCCAAAGAGCGCAGTTCCCTGTGAGAGGAAAAAATTAAATCCCAAACTGCTCTGGCGAGACACCCCAGTGAGAAGAGCACTTATGAGAGGTGTTAGAAACTGCACGGCCCTCTGGGTATTGGAGCCTGGGAGCTTAGACTCAAGTTCTCAGTCTAAAACCTGACTATTGTACTTACAGGGGGAGAGCTAATCTGGGGGAGCAGTGAGTGTGTTTTAATCCCTGGCATGCGGGCAGCGATAACGGTGCTCGGAGCCTGAATGTGTACTGCAGCAGGGACAGACCTGGCTTTGGCGTGGCTGTTCCAACACTGCTCGTCTTCCAGCTCGCTAAACTGGCCCCTGGCGCAGATGTCGTCCGGCAGTTTGGACCAGAATCGCTTGGACTCGCGCAGCTTCTTCTCAATGTCAATCACCTGCCCGAGGGAAGAGGAGAGAGAGGGAGAGAGAGGATATTATTTCAAAATCATGTTTATAAACGGCTGTATTTGTCCCTTAGCAGTGAGGTGCAGGGATTAGCCGGTCATTTTCCACAGTATGGGAGTCGTTTGAATGTGAATGTATTGAATTGATCATGGACAATGCTCGAAAATATCCCGGACATTGTGATGTTTTCTTGATGGAACTGATTGAAGGAACAACACATGGATGCATGTCAAAATGTGTCTTACTCAGTGGGGGCGGGTCCCAGCTCAAAAGTGGCCAAAATGACGTGCGCTGACATGCTGCAATACCACCCCGGGCTGTTGGGGGTGGACCCAGAAGAAGAATTAGCCAATGCTAACATATAGCGTTGGCAGACCTCTCAAAAACGTCTTTACAGGATGGTCCAAAAGTTGGCTCTTGGCCCAAAGCTCCGTTCCACATGTGTGTCAATGCTGAGGGGGGTGAATTTTTTTGGTCCACTCTAGTTTACTCGCTTTTTTGAAGTCTCTCGTTCAAATGAATGGAGTTGCGCCGGCTGACGCATGCGCAGATGCGTTTTTTCACAATTTTCTTGTGGGCGGGACCACTCGCAGCCATTTTGGATTGCTCCAGTAGAGCACATTTTTTGGCCCATTAGTTAGAATGGCGGAGATAGGCGTGACTCTGTCCGTTAATATATACAGTCTATGGTCTTACTTTAAAAAGATACAAGAAATATTTTCCTTGGAATGAGAAAATACAGAAACAGTTTGTGAAATAACACTAAATTGCTGGTCACATTGTCAAATATTGTTTTAAGACAGTCAGAATGCACACAAATGAAGATAAAGAACCCCTTGACTAAGAATTTATTACCTCATATTTTACAGTATGTGAAGAATCTTTAAGAACATTGAACTTTTGCTTGTACCTAACAACGTTTTGGTGAAAGCAAAATTATACACATTTTAGTTGCAGGCTGCTAAAATAAAAAAAAGATGTATATTTAGTTATCAATTGTACGCTTAGTATAAATATCTAACATTGCGTGATATAATTGGAGACACGCAGGTGTGAAGAGCTGGAGAGATCGGAGAAATTCACACATTTTCAAGGCTATACTTTAGTTTTAAGATAGCTCTGTCCTATATCTTCAAACTGGTCTGAGGTTCTGTCGTAGGGGCTGAGTTTGTGAAAGCAGCAACACAATTGCACATAACATCTTTTAAATCCTAGAGTCCTTTTCTAACAACACAACATCACATTTCATAACCACACCACACATGACACACCAGACATCTGTAGCACTCATTCCACTTCAGCTTTAATAACCTGTGACCTGTACAATCAGCACACCAAACATCAACATATTTTTGTGGCTCAGTTTGAAGATTTTTCACCTAAAAGCTCGGAGGTTTATTCTATTGTGTCTCGAGAACGTCATGATATAAAAAGTGAGTAAATGGTGATGGTTGTTGGAGCTGATGGCACAAACAGGGAATTATTAGCAATTAAGTTAATTCATGTAACACTCACTCCATCAAAAACACACAATGCAAATAACAAACGCCCACCACTATTTCAATCACAAGATGGGATTCTGTCATCGCACTCACACATCATGACATCAATATAACTTTATTAATCCAAAAAGAAATGGTTGTGTCAGAGAGAGTATTAAAATCCCTTTAGTGTATAAATAAATTGCTTCCAAAATTGTAAACCAACATTGAATTTATAGACATTAATGAGGAAAAGTTCTATGCCTTTATATTTGATTTGATTTGTTGTAGTATAGTTGTGTATTTAATAGTAAGTATATCGCAATCCCATTTCAAACACTATTTTTCGAATGGCATTTTAACAGCTAAGCATATTGGTGTGCAGCTGATGGGTTTAAAGTCTTTTCTCAAATGTTTATTGTATAATGTTACGATGTCGAGTGTCAATTGTTAAGTTTCTTTCCACTTTGTGTGTGTCCACTCGCTCCCACACTGTGCTCTTTTGTGATTTACTCAAACAGACTTGAGAGCAGACTCCAGGCGGCCCCCGACTGTTTCCATCTGGACAGAGGGATGAGGGACGGCCACAGATTTACGACACAAGAGTCGAACAATCCTCTGTGATGCTTCTCCATCTAAAGTTGCATAAATCTAAACAGTGTTTGTCTTCCACGCACATTTCACAAACTTCTGCTGAACATTATCCAAGTTCTCATGAAAAGAAAGATTCCTCAATCCTTTCCCCCCAGAGTCCACACGGCATGAACCAAAAGCTGAAGCTAATTTCACAATTGTTTCATGAGTTTTGTATGTATTTGATACGCCCTAAAACATCTGCCGTCCAAACAGTGAGTTCTCCATTTTGTTTTAAACCCTTTTGTACGTTCAAAAATTAAATCCTCTCTCTGTTTATGTACAACATGGTTGACCCAATGTCATTCCAAACTAATGTTTCTAACTTACTATAGAATGTACTGAAAACATGTACAGTAAAAACAAACACTTTTTAGCTAATGTATTTCACATTTTTGGTTCTCTAAAATTGTCATCATTAGTGAGGACTAACAATGAAATGTAGATTTTATCTTTAGTAATGTATGCATCCATGAAAAAATATGCTCTATTTGTAACTGTTCCAGGAAACACTGAAGTCTGTGAGAAAGGCCCTGTTCTGGTTTTATATGAACTACTGTGTGGAGCAGGTGACAGACCAGTGGAACCGGACAAGTAGAACCAGACCTGAGTGGAGTACTAACTATGGCAGGAAGCACTGCTGCAGTCTGTGGAAAGGTTCCATCCTGGGTTTCCTCTGTCATTAAGCAGTATTTATGCCTGTTTCCCAGTCCCTCCCGGGTCGCCTCATATCTCCAGGGACGCCCCGGCTTGTGCCTGTGCTGTAGATGCAGCAGACAGAACAGTTTTAGCTCGTGGCTCTTTAGCCTCTGGTAATAATTCAGGAAGCAGCAGTCTTTCTTTATCGGGCTGTAGCTACAGGCCACACAGTTCATTCAATAAAACTCCCAGTGAATAGAATAAACACATCATACTCAACAACACAGTAAGCTCCTCTTTAAGGCCACAGCTCCTCTCATCTTTAAAACCATTTTACTGCTGGAAAATCAGATGGAATACGAGGAGCTAATGTTGAACTTAAACTCACTAAATTTTCTTAATGATAGTAATAATAATGCATCAGTTTCATAGAGATTTTTTGGACACTTCACATGGAATTATTCATTCCTTCCTCATTGGCAGAGGTAAGGCAACCACTCCATGCCAACGGCTTTTCCGACCACCAACAAATAATTCATGCACACACCAGACTCAGTCTAGGCAATGTGGGTCAAAAGTCTTGCCTATGGACACAACAACAGTGTTTGTATTTAACAGCCACACCTGCCCCACTGTGGCACCTGCTGTTCCCACAAGTCTCCCATCACTACTTGTCTACTTATATCAGGCTTTCACAGAGGTAACACCACAATGGTACCTCATCACCAAATATCCATATAATGATATACATATATTTACATTTTTAAATCAACCAGATACATTTTTTGTATATGAAAAACAATACGACAAAAGCAGCATTTTGACAAAACAAAGCGTACAAAAGCTTGATATTTTGCAGAATGAGAGGTGGAGCTGCACTGAGCCTTTTTGAGATATAGATATAATCTCAATACAGGTTCTCATCAAGGGTCTGATCAGATTTTCCCAAAAGGTTGCTGAATATGTCCGCTGAAAGTGCGAATATTCAAAACAATTCTCATGGTTTTTCCATTTGTTTCTGTTGCCAGAAAAGTCCAGGATAATATCTCAGCTCAATCTCAAAGCTTCGAGCCAAAGTCAAATAGAGCTATTTCAGTCATAGAACAAAGCTGTTGAGTAAACCCTTAGTAGAATAAACTGTTTCTACCTTAGATGATTCAAGTTTATTCTTTTGTTAAAGTAGTATTTGTTTTTTAATATTTCAAACATATGCAAAATGAGACAATACACAACATACAAAATAACAAAACCAAAATAAATCGTTTGAAAAGGGGTTGGACGAAGCAAATCTCCAACCTCTTTCACTCATTCAACACACACACACACACACACACACGCACACACACACACTCTCACACACAAACACACAAAGTACTTCTTCAGTGCTGCCTTCTTGATTTGATTTTGGAGTTTGAACATGTTTTTAATCAAGTTGCCCCTAAGAGTAAGACCTTGCACTGATTGATTTTAAAGTAGCTCTAAATTTAAGCACAAATCATGTTTTGCGTCCTCTTAAAAATAAATTGAAATGAATCAAAAACTGTAACTATCACAAAATAGGGTTTGCATAATAGGAAGCAGTCGAGTGATCCTGCAAAAATCCTCAAGGTTTTTTTTTTTTTTTTTTTCCTTTTCTTCTTTTCCCATTTGACAATCAGCTCTTTGTTTGAGGCCGTGCATGTTCCCTCCTCCAGCAGCATTGGTGAGTGCATGTGAGGCTGACCATGTCACCGTCACACTGGGACATACAGAGCTCTCACTCGGGCCTAAAGGGTCCTCATAAACATGAAAGGAGATGGACCCTGGTCGCCTCCGCTGGACACTGGCCTCAGTTCTGATGTGCTAATCCTGTCACCTGTGCCAAAGCTGCACAGGAATAACACGCTTACCTGCCACCGATACACGCGCTTCAAACAGCCTCTAAACACGGCTTTGAAATAAATCTGTAATGTCGTCATTCTGAAGGGAAAAGCTGACCACATGTTTAGACAGAGCGGTATGTAAACACGGGATTGGGCTGGTCATTGTTTAGTCTAAAGGGAGTCGACATGCTTTGGTCGATAGTGGCATCAACAAGCACTGTAAAAAAAAAAAAAGGAAAACTAGACTAAACACGCAGATGGAAGGTATTTGTGGTTCAAACAAACATTGTAGATTTAGAATCATATTTGTCATTTATGATTACATGACAACAACAGGGCAACAGCGGGACAAACAACACTGTGCAGAAGTCATGG